TGAGAAACAGTTACAGACCTTTACAGGTTAGAGATTGCTCACTAGATGTTGATAACATATCAAACAACAAACAAAACAACTATATGCAGTGTTACTACATTGTGAAAAGAACCACAATATCACGAGTAAAAAATATTGTGAAAATGTTTACCTTTTGTTCCTACCGGTAGATGGTCAGATTCTTTTCAGAATTTACTTTCTGAGAGACTATTCTTTTTTTTTTCTTGAAAAAGATAACAAAAATCATTCTTCTACCATTGAAACCCCTTCCGTTGTCCAGTAGCCCCCCTTTTAACAGTGTATTCATGTGAGAGGTTAACTTGTCCAAGAGGGGTCAGGACTGTGGAAGCGAGCGGACAGATGTTGATGTGAAAGCTATAATTATCTGCTGGCTCTTGTGTCACAGTGTCAGAGACTCGGGCTGCTGGATATGTGCTGTTGTTATACAGTATCTGATTTAACTTTTAATGCCGGTCAATAGTTTTTCTTCCATGGAGCAACAACAATCTAGACAGAAACAAGCTAAATACGTTGCTTTGGCATAGCTGTTGCTTCTCAAATAGGACCAAAATGACCAGGAATCAATGAATATATAATATAATGTAACTCCAATTCTTTAATTTTCCTATACTCTTTGGATTTCGAGTATCTGTTGATAAAGGGTTAAATACTGTTTGCTCTTGTCAATTCTACCTAGATTACAGTCAGATTTTTCTAACGTCAACGACACTAATTCTGAAGGTGCTCCTACATCTACTGAAAATATGGATGAAGTGATTTACATTTTCTCCTTCTAAGTCTCCGCGAAATACATTTCCATGACCGCTAACTGTACATGTATACTTCTGTGTTTAAGGTTCTCATGTTTCTTTGTTGTAGCTTTATTAGGCCTTTGTTAGTCTGTGAAATGTAACATTTTAAGTTCCTGTCATATGCATGCATCCAAAAATCTGTCTATTTACCATTTCCAACGAAGTTACTGAATTCAGCAACTTGTATGTTTTAAGAATACTCACATAGCAACCAAGTTGTATTATTTACGTATCTGAGGAGAGAATGTACAAAGAATTCCATTCATTATAGCCCAAATAAAAGTCAGTTCTGTGTCATTAATCTATGTCAAAACGTTGGAAAATAGATAAGTGGGTTCCGCTTTTCGAACTTACCGGCGCTGCTTCCGTTTATTCATTACCTAAAACGATGTCAGAAACAACATGTTGGGATATATTTCATAGTACTCTCTAGGGATGTGTTGGCAATTCTATCTTGCTTTCGCAACAATGGAAGAATATAGTTGAGTTCTAAGCCAGTACCGTTTCTTCAATGTCATTAACAGTTGTGATTTAGAGGTGATAAGTGTACACTTTTCTCTTTTGGCATTGTTGTTTGATTATGATATCGACCAAACTCGGTCCCACCCATTTCTTTAAGAATCTTCATGAGTTCATTTACCAAAATTGCGGCAGTCAACGACATAATGCGTGGGTACAGCACGCCAAAGTTACAATTTAGGCCAATTTTTGAAATCGGAAACGGGTTGTTTCTTTCTCCTTCAATTCCACATCCCATTCAACTGAACTCAGGTGAATCTGACAGGTAAGATAGGAGTTCCGTCTTTTGTTACTTTTTCCCCTTCTGATGAATCTAGCTCTGGCATCTTGGCAGGTTTTGCCCCGTGGCACGACATTCTAGTCAAACCAAGACAAAGAAAGTTTTCTGGACCGGCGAAAACCGATATCCCCTCAGTAGATCTCCCGGCCGTTTTGTAATGTGCGTCCAGTGTTCAAACACCTGTCCCCTTCCAGCTAAAGCCTCTATAACGATGGGAAAACATCGCAAACCTACAATCTTCAAATCCACAAGTGGTCCGCTTCATTTATGTTTGTCACTCCCGATTTTTTGTGGGGCCACGTGCGCTTAACAAAGTCATGCTCGGGAGATTCTTGCCTCTAAAATCGCATTGTACACGGTCTGAACGGAGGGTAGATACACCGGCCCGGGTAATTGCTAGTTGCGGGGAGAAGATTGAAGTTCCCTGCAGCTCGGCCGTGGTGGGGAAGCTTACTCGGGGGAACTCTTCACGTTCAGTCGTCATGACGACGCGCGTGCTGTCCTTACAGATTACATTTAGAAGAATGAGCGTGAATATGTTACCGGGCGGCCAGGTGGATCACTCATACATCATTCCATCTGTTCGGAAATACCCAAAACTTTTCTTCACTAAACTTACTGAAGTTTATAAACCTGCATTTCTCCTCTGGTCTCTTAGTCACTGACGAAAGCTAGTGAATACTAGCTGAAACGTCTGATGTTTTCAAAATCATATCCAGTTGCTTGAGTAACTTTTGGCGTATTGTATTACCTGGATGTCTAACCTTCATCGACGTTACTGAAGTTTCGTTTGGTAACAAATTCATTTTATAACCATATACCACTTTATAACACTAGACGTAAACTCCACAGTGCGTATATCTCATGCAAATTGAATTCGTGTTGTTTTAAAACGTAGCAATTCATTGTCATTGCGTTGTACGTGTTGAAAGATTTCAACTCTAGATTCTGTTATATGTTATTATATCATTTCGAAGCCTTTCCCAGGCTACTGCGAATACTAGAATTGCTTCGAATTCGAATCACTGTTTTGCCCAACAGGATAGAATTCAAACATAGAGCTATATAGTATAATAATGTGTATTATAGCTTCATGACTCAAAGGAGGGTTGCAAGCTTATAGCGCGAAAAGTTATGATCCATAAATGAACCAATACCTGTGTTAGTACATGTTCTTGTCGGTGAAAAAAGAAAGCGGAACTTTTCTTTAAGCATAGAGTTATGTATGCTTCAGACAATCGCCATGCCTTCACAACATTCGTTACATTCTAAACCAGATGCTGACATTCTTGTTATGTTACAGTTCCTTCTGTTTGTTTATTTTTTATTTTGTTTTCCCGTGTTCGGTGAACGCTCTCTTGGTCAAACAAAGGTGACCCACAAATTGATCAACCCACACAAATCCCAGGTGTTTTGTGGATTCACCTGACCGAGTTTTAAAGAAAGAATGTTGTTTTGGTCGCGATCTTTCGTTGAAAAACAGAAACAACACACTTCAAGGGGCTGGTATATATCCCTACTGCGGGGAGAATCTTTGATTCGGGTCAGAGATATAGTGTGGCGTATATTATCTTACATTTTCAAAGGGTCGTGTCATGATTTTGGGAAAGATTATAGGATTTGCAAGAAAAGTCGTATATCCCATATCTCGGCGTCATCTTTGCTGTGAGGATATTTCCGTTGTGACGTGAAAGACTCTGAGATTTGGCGGCTCTTTATTTTTTAGAGGACCGGCGCAACGAGTAGCATTGTCATCGAAATCCTTCCACAAAGCAATTTCTTCTCCTCTGTATCCCCCCTGCTAAACCATACGGTGCTTTTATACGCGGGTAGCCAAGCTTGGTGCCTTGCTTTTTGCTATTGTGCCTGGCGTTTACGCGTCCAGAGAGGGTTTAATTGTGAAGCAACTCTCGGCTAAGCAAACAACAAGACCTGGTTTGTATCTCATAGCGAGGAAGCCCGCAGCGCGCCACAAAAATCCTACTTTCATAGCCAAGTTGGGTCTTTGTTACGGCATTGTTCCGCTGCTTGTACCACAATGGTAGCGCCCCTCCTGAAATGAACAATACCACAAGGCCCGACAATGAAATCTACATGACTCACAGATGAATAGGAACAATGGCCGGACACTCCAGCGGTGGCTCCAGCTAGTCTGGGCGGCGGACCCCGCCTTGCGCCCGCCGGAGCCCAGGTGGAAAACATGCGGCGCAACCTTGTTTGTCAGCCCGTCTAACTCCCCGGGACCTAATACCCACCTTTCCAGTCAAATTTAGTTACGTGCGCTTTCCCGCCATGCAGAAAGAATCCCTGTTCGGGCCATTCTTTCTTGTATGTTTTCTATGCCTCTTTCCTTTTTATTTTTTCACACACCGACATGCTGAAGTCTAGAGGCTAAAGACGCCGGAAACATGTTCAGACGGGTGGGGATGGGCCGCGGAGAAAGCCGTGGATAGTACGCTAGCTTTTGGTGTGACCTTTCGGTGTGCGAAAACGCACAATACAAGCGGCAATCGCCCTGGGCAAAGGGCACAGAGGCTATCAACTAGCCAAGTGAACAGTGCACATTTTGCACGCGATATACATTTTTGTTCTTCTATGTCATATATCCATTTCTGGAAAGGTACGCTATTACGAAGTCACGCCTTCAGTTATGTTCAAAAGCATGTAAAAATCACGAAAAACAGCATGTCTTTAGAACACGTGCTGACCTTGTGAAATTTAAGACGTTTGTATCTTCAGGCAGGCATGTTGACGGCCGGCGCACATTTAGGGGCGAGTTAACGTTTGGTCACAAAAGCATTTTGTAAAAAAAAACGTGAGGCAAGAAAGCGTTATACGTATGATCAATGGTATAGTGTACCGGGCGGAGGTTTTAAAGTTAAATTTCCCGGTGAAAACCAACCACCATAGCAGCTTACATGATAATTGGCCATTTTGACACCTTTTCGCCCCAGGAATGTTGTTCGAAAATTATAGGAGACCTCTAAAGCCTGATACAAGTAATTTTGAGCAATCTTCGTGTCCCGTGTCACTGAACCACTATGAAGGGACGTATATATAAACTGTGGTCTATGTTTCTCCCTTTTTAGATTTACAACCCTTTAAGAAATAACGAAGTTTTTAAGACAGGGTCTTTAGTAAGGTATGCCCTGAGCGGCAGTAGTTATGAGATTTACAGACGAAAGCCAAAAATCGGGAGGCTAATTCCTACTCACTCGCTATGATGTGACCCTATCACTTTTCAGGATTGCTGTAATTTTGCTAATGATTATTAGTTAATAGGACAAAGGTAGGTTAAAAAGTAATCCATTAGTAAAACGACATAACGGGCTACAGGCTCAATGTAAACACAAGATAGGATACAGGTAATAGTCGCCACACGGTGCATGTTTCGTCTTGATTTTCTTTCTTTTATTATGCTATCTTTTCGGGGACCGAACTAGACGAATACTTGTTCTTCCCACTAGACTCTGTACAATATTGGTCAACATATACGTGGATGATATACAACAAGAGTAGCTGATGCTTATCATTTGTGATGGAAATACCGGACAAAAGATCACCGGACTTTAAGTTGGCAAAGCACGAGTCTACCGTACAATTAGAGAAAATTGGTCGTACACAAATTACTTCAAACAGACAAGCATGAAAACATAGGACCGGCTACAAGTCATATCATGTACATGTACGAGTGCAAAATAAACAAAATCTTCGTATATTCTCGTCCCCACGTCATTGGTGCAAGCGTGGAAAGTGCGAGCCGAAATTTGTGCAAGTGGATTTTTTTCATTCGCACTTTCTTTACCAAAGAAAGACATCCTGGTGTAAATATGTTCCAGCACCAGATATTCTTTTTGTTAATGTCTATTTTGGTTTCTGTAGAATTTCGGTTAGAAGGTTGTTTTGTGTCATTGATTTCTACAAGGCGTTTGATAACAGCCCCCTCTATTGCACAACTTAGATGCGAAATGTATAAATAGTTGACTATATCACTTTTTTTAGATGGAAAGATTGAGCTGAACATTACTGTTGACCAATAACAAGTATGTGTACTGGCTCAAATGATCAATTTCGTACAAGAAATACGTGTTCAAATAACTTACTTTACAAAAATACGTGTACCACCGTTGACCAAACTACACCATGATTAAAACGCCTTCGTGGATAAAGAGGGAAAAACTTGATGAACTCTATATTTACATGTTTCTTTCTGTACAGAACTCTCAAGGAAAAGACATTGGCGCTTTAAAAATGCGCGCAAAAACGCCAAAAGCTTGTAAAATCATATACTTCGATTGTCGATGTTTATATGAGCTGTGATACATTTTGCTGTCTATTTCATCACTTGGAATCAACAAGTTGAAATAGACCATTTCACACAAGGATAGAGAGAAAAAAATAGTTTTAGAATTCCCAAATGAGAGCGTAGTATTATTCTCATCACAAACATAATATAGAAAAGTTACAGCAAGATACATTCAATATGTGAACATTTTACAACATACCCCACATCGGTATTGAAAGATATGATAGTGAAAATTGACGTTAATAGTCAAATACTGGACGATATGGGAGGTTCGTATCTCTATACCTGATCTAACATTTTGTGTTGTTGTTCAATAAATAAAGATAACACCAAATGCGTAACGCCCCATTCTTACAATCTTCAGTGAACATTGCAATGTGTTTCTTTCTGACGTCACGGTATAAAACATTTATACACATACATTTGTAGCAATACGTTTTCCCCTACTTCATTTCCATTCTCTCAAAGTTTGGTCAAAGTCTTTAAGAAGTTGACAGCGGCAATACATACAGTTGTTGCCTCTTTATGTTAGAAGTTGTTGGGACTGCTGCAGTGGTTCCTGGTAGTGCCATGGAGAGGGGGAGTAGTGGTGAGAGTTCATGTAGTTCGCCATGGCTTTGGTACTGTTGACGTCCCATACTGGTGGCGAGGAGGTCGGCATTGGTGCGGCGCTGGTCAGGGCAGGTTGCTGTTGCCCAGGCGGCGTCATCATCGCGTTCTGCGGCTGGCCCTGGCTGGTCGCCCGAGGCGGCAGGTTGGGCTGCCCGCCGTGAGACATTTGCTGGTCGCTGAGGTCTGTGGGTGCGCCGGGCGGGCTGGCGTGGCCGGGTTGACCGGCTTGTTGTTGAGCAGGGTTCGGGGCGGCGGAGTTGGGTGTACCGACGCCAGGCGGTGGGGCGCCTCCCTGCTTCATCAGCTTCTTGTACTTAGAACGGCGGTTCTGGAACCAAATCTTCACCTGTGGCAAACATACAGACACTCTACTAAGTACACTTTCAGGACGAAATTTACATGAACAAGTGATCGCAATGTATAACAAGACAATGCATATACCATGATAGAACTGACACTTCATTCCTATTTTAACAAGGTAAGACACCTCTCAGACCAAGGTAACCCTCCTTGCTCAGACAAAGAGGGGAAAGAAAAAGAAGAGATGTAATGGTTGATATTTGTCGTTAACTTCCGTATACGTTAGTTCTGTATTTGGTTGAGTCTTTGCGGAGAAATTGTTCGGAAACATAATTAGTCTACAGATTTTCTAAAAGGAACTGTTTGAAAGGTTGATGTATTCAGTTATTCCCCTTTTCCTGTCGTTGACCTATCAAACTCATTTTGTAATAAAATTGGAGGTAATTTCAGTCCTAAAAAGAACCGTCTCTTCCGAAATATTGAAATTATTCTCAAAAATCTGGACATTATAGAAAAGAAACTTCTGTAAAACTTTAGATATGATGTCAAAGGTTGTTGACTCGAGCACGGCCAGTGAAAGGCTGTAGTGTCATGCTAAGAAATGGGAAAAGTTGGGGGTTTCCCAGATTAGAATTTCCCGGAAAAAACACAATCAACAAAGCTAAAATCGAGCTTCACGATTCGAAGTTGTAACTGTAGTAGACGCCTCGAGCGTTACAAAAATGTGGTTGGAAAAACTGGTCGGCTTTTATAAGGAAAAAAAACGATTCACTTTGGTGGCCGATAAATCTTTTCCATCGTTTACCCACTCCGGAAATGAACAACCGTCCTACAGAGTATAACTACATACAGAAGTAGTTCTATATGGAGGTGCTGAATATTTATTAAGTGGAGAACCCTGTGTGTTTTCCTTGCGTGTGTGTTAGCTTTGCGTTGCGGGTTCGCCTGTGCTGTTGCTAATGCGATTTGGCTGGCGAAATCCCAGGTGGACTCTCTCAAAAAAAGGCCCACATGAGTACAATATTATTAATATGATGAGAGATCAGTTCGTATGAGTCTATTAATCACCCTTAAGAGGGAGCTGTGGTTTCTTGTAGATAGGACTTTTCATGGAGATGATTAGTATCCCATTACTAGGAATTATGAGAGCGATGTATGTTTGCCCTATGCATAAACCCTCGCCGGGCCCGTATTTAACCTCAAAAAGCGTCCAATTTAACTCAAACGTGTCGCGCGCGGGGAGCGAGGTCCTTAAGGACGGGGAAAATAAAAAGACCGCCGTATGCTTCGTGACATGTACCGGTGTCGCCTAATTAATTCATACGCGATAAGGACCCCATCCGCCGCCTTATCCCGTGTACAATCCCGGTATCACTGCGCCGCAACACGGCGGCAGCTTGTTGAGGCAGCGATGGGACACGGGGCGGATTCGTTCTGCCGTTGTCTCGCGACCGCGCAGCCCGGGTTCGATTCCCGCGGCGACAACATGACAAGTGTCCTCGGCGTTCGGAATTGACGAAACGTAACTTACACGTCTATTTATTTCATAAACAGATGAATATTGTGAGAAAACGAGGGTCTTATCGCAGAAACATGGGACAATGGGACCTGGCTTATGTCTCTAATGCCTAAAAGACACACAAAGATCAATGTTCATTCAGGAGAAAGCTGGCTCTAGAAACAACATTACAGAAATTTGGCTGATGGGAACATGATAAAAACGCGAGACCTTTCCATCTTGTTGTTATATCGTAAAATAAAGGTCTAGCTCGAGGCAGCATGTCACACCTTCTGGAGTAGTTTACAAATATAAACAGATGACTTTTCTGTGAAGTTTTGTGCCTTTTAAAAGTTCTGCATTTACATTTTACCATGACTATGAACAATACTGAGAAAGGATTACTTTTAACAATTTGAGGTTTGATGTGTTGAATCGTTTTCGTGAAGTCGTGAAACGAGTGCTTGTAGAGACCGTAGAAAGGCAACATATTGTGGCCAATTTCTGGCCCCGAAAATGTCATAAGGTTTTCCCATTGTCTGTGATCCCCCAAAGCTTGTCGAATTGTCTGCTCTCCAGCCATTCATATGTGCTACCGTCGAGTTTTTCACGACTTCAGCGGGGAACTGGCCAGAAACTTGCGCGACTACCTGCAAAAGTGCAAACACGTCTGGAGGACTGAATAGGGCAGGCCTCGCTTCGTTTGTTCAGCATTTTGACATGGAAATGAACAGAGGATTGTCGTCTTTCTTTGGGAGTCATTAGCGCCACTATTCCCTTCACAAATCTGAATATGAATTGGAAGCTAAAGAAAATACTTGCCCGCCTACTGGTCCCTACACAATGCCCCAAACCCAACAACGCAAACTACTACGCACAAACGTATGTTCTGAGATGTTGGCTATCTATTGTTGATAAAACTCCATGCTAACGTTAAGACGATCTGATTTTATAATGTTGTATGATTTTAGCGGAGAAAAACACACCCAAAACGGTTCAGTATTATGACGGGAAAGCCGGTGGTTTTCCGGCAACCCGTAGTTGAGACCCACTTCCCTAAAATGCAAGTTCTCTATTGACGTATATTGATTTTCTTGGGAGCCGAAGAAACAGGGAGAAAATTCGATACACAATTGGCTAAAATGTCAGGCTCTCAGAATCTCCAACTCGTGGTTAATCAAAGGAAAAGTCGACACCATGATTGGAAAATTGACACCTAGAAATCATCATCACACACTACTCAACTTCGCAAAATGGAGCTTGCCGGGAACAAGCCGGTATTCTGGGTGCGAGATGGGCTGAAATTATGGAAAATGAACTTGTACTTTCCCACCTAATAGCGGTAATTTGAAAATAACCGTCCAGTAAAAACCCTACTCCTTGCCCTAATACGTATCATGAGGCTCGTGCCTTCTTGATAATGTCAAGCAAGTGGATGATATCTGAAAATGGCGGTAGAAATTGCCCAATCGAAGGAAAATGACTGCGATAAAAGTGGTGGTGTAAGCGAGGGTTTCGGTCAGTCTTGGCTTACCTGTGTTTGAGTCAGACCCAACTGGGCGGCGAGCTCGGCTCTCTCCGGTAGAGCGAGGTACTGGGTTCTCTGGAACCTGCGGTTGAGCTGCTGCAGCTGGAAGCTTGTGTAGATGGTCCGAGGTTTACGCATTTTCTTGCCTTTGCCATTGATGCGTTGGTCTGTCGGGTCGGGCGACTTGTCTGTCCGGGAAAAGTGATATAGCCGCTCGTTGTCATCGTCGGAGAAACCTCCTGTGGACAAGAAGAAGGAAGGAAACTTTGTTAGAAAATCTGCCGTGTAGAGTTTTTTCAAGGCCGCGCCATGCTTCTTTCTTCGCCTGTGTCTTGCTGGACATGCCGGAAGGTTCTTAAAGTTGCCCCGTCAAAAGGACCAAGAAAAACAGGAAGCGACCCCGTGGACGGCATGCATAACATGGGGACGGTGTAGAGAAGAGGACGGCACTTACCTAACCTACTCTCGGAGACAGGCGTCACCGCCGCCGTGGAGTAAGGGTTTCCGTAAGGGTGGCCTGGGTGGTTGGCCATCGGGTTCATGGAGAAGGGGTAGCCGAGGGGGCGGGAGTGAGGCGCCGCCGTGCTGAAGGCGCTTTCGTGCTGGGTGTGCGAGGTCGGGTGGAGGCATCGGACGGGGTAGCTGGAGTGGTTCATAGACATTGACACAGGTGGCTGTTGGACTGGCGGAATCTCCATGAAAGCAGATTTAGACATCGTGGTCAGCTCCGAGTCGAGTCCGTTCAAGGCTGCGACTGTCGCTACAGCGGTCATCGGTACCAGGAGGCGTGGGGACACCGTGTAAGCGCACTGGATGACACGCTCAACTTAGCAATTGTAAGTTTGGCTGCCCTGCGATACAAGGTTTTCATCTAAGTCAACAAAACCCCACGCAGGCATATGAATATGGATATTTTGTCCGGTGGGAGGGGCAAACACGAAACTACGCTCTCTGATTGGTTGATTCCGACTGTCCTATGGTGATGCATATTGCAGCGGAGGTGACATGTCGAAGAGTAATTGTTATGGAAAACATCAACAATGTGGATTAGAGATTGTCTGTCCTATTCTTCTACAAAAAGTCACACAAAAAACGTGGGAAAGAACAGAACTAGAAAGTTGTCTGTAAACTTTCTAAACCTGCCCCTTCTGTTCAACCCTGTACACTACAGACCATTTTCGTCCTATCTTTTCATCTTTTTGTCTGGCAAAAAATGGAGCCCTAATAATGCACGAACATCAGAAATTGTGGAACCCCCTCATTTCATGATCATTATCTAGAGTCTAATTGGCTTGGTGTGTAGTGTTTGCGGGGTTCCCCCGATGTAAGGGTAGAAAGGCTGCGGCGTAACTCGCTTGTAGCGCCGTAGTTGTGTACGGGAGTGCGCCGGTGAATCAGACGGACGCAGGACCGACAAGTGACAAAAGGCCCATCGACGACAGCCTAGTGGCGCCAGGGCCAACGGGGATATATTGTCATGCATTCCTTTTGGGACACCTAGCTCTAATACATGGGACAGGGGTTTGTAGCGAACTGTACTCTTTCTCAGGATTAACATAGAAGTGCAAATTGTTTTATTTTCTCAGACTACATACTCATCGACTTCGTACATAGGTGATAATAGTGTTGTACAGACTTTCTAGGTTTTGCGGAAGTCATGTTTTATATACAACTCGGTGAAACACAGAAGAAAACATATGCAGAAGTCTGCTATGACACGGAACGGTAGAGCACTTGACTTACAAATGTTCGGTCAACTTGTTCTTGTTTACTTTTGAGATCAGGAGAGATTTGCAGCTATTAGAAGGCAAGTGTGAGCGGGGTACGGCACGAGGCAGTGTTTGCAATGTAAACAAACATTGACACGGAGGGTCGCCTTCGTCCTGACAAACCGTACAACCCAAAACTCGTGCAGTAATTACGAAATTATGGTTGATTTTTTATCAGTTGGCCGTGTCAATAGGTTAATTAGTATAAAAGTAAGGGTATCAGTGTCTACTGGCTTGTAGTTTGAATTGTTACAGGTAGTCCTAATTCCCTAAAATTTGACATAATTACAATGAGGCTGTTTTAGGGAGGAGGATCTTGATCTAACTGGCCTAAGTGACAAGCCAAAGGCAAAGATAGATCCATAGATAGCGGGTAAAGCGCCTACAACCGTACTGGGACAAAAATGTACAGTATTTTACCTGGAGGTGGGATTTTTGTGTTTTATGAGGCTGCTTTTGTCTCAGTGAACCAGCGCCCTTTGGCAGGGTGACTATGTGTCAGTCAAACCGCAGACAGTGAGTAGTACTTCAGTTTGGGGAATTGTACGTCATTTTTTTGGCGTTCGACACCGTTTCTGACGTGTCCCCGTGGGAGGAGATATTGTAGTGGCGTCAGCGGCAGGGGAAGAAGCGATGAGTCAGTCGGTGGGACAGGCGGAGTGCCCGCGGTTGTGTTGTTTTGTGATCTGCTACATGTCACATGGGGCAGGGACGACCTGGCCGCCTGCCACCGGCGCCTCTGGTCTGAACCCGCTCAACCGAGCCACAACTACGCCTGGAGCTTTTATCTTACATACTTACACACACATGACTTAGCCAAACTCCGCTCAAGCAAACTACCTCGTTAGATTTTAAATCATCGTGCAGAAAGAGTCTTGGCAGGCGAAAAGTTACACAGGACGGGGACAGACTTTGTATAGAGCACCCGGGGGAGCCAAGAGCGCTTGTGGCTCCAGCTATTGAACAGAAACAAAACACAGAACTCAGGGCAAATTCCAGACTACGACAAGCCCAGACCGAAGCCGTGACGTTTCACCAGCGGTAACGGTTGAACTTATTTTCCAGTCGCCGCGTGCGCCGGATTTGTTACCCTGCGCTAACCACCCTTATTTGAAATTTGATAAATTACACTTAACTCTCCGGAACACCGCTCTAGTAATTACACAAACCTACGCTTATCTCTCGCATTTAGCCCCAAATTTTCGATCCAATGCCCTGTATTTTGCTGAACCCCTACGTCAGAGTAGTCGAGCAACCGTAGAGGCAAGGTAGACAGGTAGAGGACAGACGGTAGTGTTTTAGACCGGGAGAATGGTACCCAGCCCCGACTTGTCTGTCAGAAACCTACGAACAGACGATGTTTTCTTTCCTCACAGAGCCACCCCCCTCCCACCGAGAGACTATTGTTTGAAAGAATGTCGTCCTGTGGACGGGAGGACTCGTGACTGGGGAGGGGAGAGAGAAGGGCGGCTGGTATCGGCTCTACACACGCGATAGACCGCCCTGTTGTTTTGCGGTCGTCCGATGTGTTGTTTGTCATTGGGCTCCAAGGGGATGAAGTCACGTGATTTAACAGGTAAGGCCCACACCTTTGAACACATTGTTGTTTATCACCTATGAGGTCATGTTGTTGTCTTATTGTGGTGTCTTAACTTCTGAACGACAGGAATATCGTGAGAATATGACAGACAACATAATATTGGGAACTATTGTTTGAAACTAAAAAGTACGCACGCTTTTGAAAATACATAACATAGAAAAATATCCTAGCTGCTTCTCAGAAGCTGCAGTATCAAAAACTAGTTTTAGGACAGGATGCTTTATGCAAAACGATGGTAAGATGATATTGGGATATTGCAAACGTCCAAAGTTTTGCTATTGACACCAAGTTTGAATCAAATTGTGCATTGACTAATAGTACATGTATTCATAAACCAAATTTAAATCCCCCAGTCAGAGTACATGGCATACAGTACAGTACAATGCAGTGCCCCTAAAAGGAAATTATGGCACAAAGTAACGACAAAAATCTGAACTTAAAAACCACTCTATTTTCTTTTCTGCGTATAGCACTGGTCAAAGTTCTCACTTTTTATCAACCTTATTCTGCTTACAAAACCAAACAACAATTTTGTGTTTATTTCTTGAGTATTTTTTATGTCTTTTTTTTCCATTTACCGACAAGTTGAGGAAAAAGTATTACTTTTGGGTCAATAATTCGCGGTACAGACCTAGTAATTATAGTTCAACAAGGTTGAAACTCAATCGTATCTGTATTGAAATCGTTTTCTACCAGCATGTGTGAAAATGTCAGAAAAGCATGTAACAATCTGGCGTCAAATTGTGCAAGGTCAAATAGCAGACAACTTACGTAAGCTACATACTTGGCTGGACACACACAAACACACAAACAGGTGGCCATTTCTTATACATACAAATATTCTTAGAATATATCCTCTTTAATTCTCAAACAGTTGCAACTACTAGTATCCAAAGTCAACTTATTGGATGAAATTTATGTCGAAGTTCAAAAATATATGACGTAGAAGTTAAATTGTTTCAGCTTCATTAGAGTAAAGTTATGTAGGTTGCATGTTTTGGCAGACATGTCAAGCACATGTGAGGAAGCTAATAGAAATTACTGAATCTAGACATAGGTCATTGGACAGGGTAACAGTGCTGTAAATGTTTGACTGTTGTTAACTCATGGCTGCAGAGCTTATTGAGTGGGACACAGATAGACGTCACAAAATGAACAATGGAACATACAAGAAATCCTGAGGACTTGAGTCCTGACATGTCACCGATCTTGTGCCCTTGGGAAAGACACTTTACACGACTTTCCCCACTAGACTCAAGTGAAAATGAGTATCGTCTGTCCAGTATTCGTTTCTATGTGCGGGACACAACACCAGCAACAGCTGCCTCTGTTCCGCGTGTATTGCACTGTTGCAATATCAATAAATAAATAAATAAATAAAAATAAATGAATAAGAAATAAATTGCCTATGTAGTACTAGTATTCAATGTGTCATACAGTACATACTACACTCAACAGAAGCATGGAAAGTTTAATCTGATGTACCATATCTCCATTATAAGTTATCAATCATGTTGTATCATATATCACTTATTTATAACTTATTTATTTCTCTTTACAAAGATACCCGTTTTCTATGATAGTACGTTTATGGGCTAAGCACTAGATCATGAAAAATTCCCTTTGGTTAAAGGTCCGTTGTTTTTAATGATTAGCATTATGTGTAATATGTTTAGAAACGTGTATGTTTCCATTTAAATAATACCTAATATTTTGGATCATGTTTTGTATAGTGATCCCATTGACTGATAACTTGAGTGGGTCGCACGAGAAAAGTGCTTGAATTCCCCTGCTATTGTCAAACACTGTGTTGGGAAATTTCTACTCTCCAAGCAGAGGTTGATGGTGGAAGATCATTTTCTTTTTATATATGGCCCTTTCTTTTTTGCTACGACCACCAACTTGGGTGGGGAAATGGATACAGACTAGCCAATTTGATACTGCCTTACCCCAACCAAAAGATCTGCTTGGAGATTAGGAAATTTCGCCACTTCTGTGACACACTCGCCTGGTCCTGGTGTTCGACTGTTGAGTGCATGTGGGATTGTGAGAAGTATGGTATTAATGTAAAGGGTTTTCAATAAGCTTTCCAATGATACATAATATAAATCTATATAATGATAACTGAAACATGATTGATAAAATTCAAGTTTCTGAACTTTTTGTGTTGACTGTATCACAATGTATTTGTAGCCGATGAATGCTTTCAATATAAATCCGATTTCGTACACATAATATTGGTATCTTCGTAGGGCGTTGAAATTTAAGCTTAAACTCGCATCACATTACTCAAAGTATAGAATCCTGATTTTGTCCGATACAGAATATGTTTTTACACCTTGACAAACATTAAGTGTCCAGTCACACGTGTTCATGGTATCTTTTGAATGCAGAAAAGCCATTGCTGACGACCTTCCTTTAAAAGGACGTAGAGATAGAGAAAGTCAATGTATATAAAGCTATCTTTACGCCCTTTGCTATCTAATCTGAAGATAAAAATTAACAATAA